AGCCATGAAAAGAAGGTAAAAGTTGAATAATGTCTGGTTTAAAATTAAAATGAGATGCATCAGGAGGAAAAACTATGCATGATGGTGCACTTGTTCTTGTGGGATTCATGTGGTCTCTAAGTGTTCTAGCACGGTTATTCTCATTATTTTCATTATGAAGTGATTGATTATCTTCTTCAGCCATATTTTCTGAAAATGATGAATTATCTTCTTCGGCCATATTTTCTGAAAATGATGAGGATACCCTACAAAGTCTACCACTTGATGTACGTGACCACACTCTCATGCACGTGTAGGAATATAATAAAAAGAAAAAGAAAACAAAAGAAGAAGAAACAAGAGAAAAGAAACAAAGTTATATACAAGAAAAGTGAAAAGAGAAAATAAAATAAATATTATAATTTATACAAAACTTACCTCCCCGGCAACGGCGCCAAAAACTTGACACGACTAAAAGATTGATGTCTTCTCCCAAGTGCAGGAGTGTCGAAGTAATAAATAACCCGGCACGACCGGGGTCGAACCACAGGGAGGTTATTTGTACAAATTATAAATAACAATAATACAACAACAACAACAATAACAACAACAACAACAACAACAACAACAACAACAACAACAACAACAACAACAATAATAATAATAATAATAATAATAGTAGTAGTAGTAGTAGTAGTAGTAATAATAATAATAATAATAATAATAATAAAGAAAGAGAAGAAGAAGAAGATGATGAGAACTTGGAGATGGAAAATTAATGTAAGGATTAAACAATAATAATAACAAATGTCAAGGTTAGAGGTTCCACTAATGGTATATCAAACAAGTATAGTATAAACTCTTATTATTGAATTGGAAACCACACACAAAGAAGGTTCCAATCAGATTATATATTGTTAACATGATTACATTAGTCATCTTATTCAATTAACGCTAATACTTGTAAATCTCGTCAAGTATTCATGATTATAACTTAGGTTAACAACAAATCAAGTTCCTTTCATAGCTCAGGTGTCGGTTATACCATACATTATGAGTTATGAAAGTGCCAAGCATTTGTTGTACCAAGTGTTATACAACATAAATCAAGATTAGTCATTTAACAAGCAAAGTATTAAAGAGTGAACAAGATAACAAATATAAAACATGTTAGTATCAAACATTAAAGTCCATATTAAGTTTACATTATACTTATTCTTACACCATTAGTGTAACCTTTTCACCTTGACATAACTAACTTAGCTAGACATAATGAAAGAAAGCAAAATAGATAAACAAAATAAGAACATAAAAGTTAACTAAGTAAAGGAAAGGAAATGAAAGGCATAAACTTAATATTAATGAAAGCAAAGCATAAACATTACAAAAAATACAAAGAGAGAAAGGAAGAGCATGATCTTGATCTGGAAACCAAGATGCCTAAATGCATGGCAAATGCCTCCTTTTATAGGCCAAAATTGGGAACTATTGATTTGATGACTAATTGATAAGTGGGTGGCCAACTTTTGACTTGGTGACAATCCTTATCTTCTCTTGTCTGCCCAAAACGTCATTAATAACGTCAAAATTGGAGCCAGTTGCAAACATGAAAGTTGTAGGAAATTGTCTCAGCTTTCTTGTGTAAAAACGTCAGCTCATTTGGACTTCTAGAACTCTAGATATGGCCAACATACTGAACAGTGCTCGGGCTGGAAGACAAATTCGGGCTTCTTTGTTGTTGCTACAATTTGGACTTGAAAATGGCCTTTTTAGATCTTGGGTTCCATATGAAAGTTGTAGGCCTATGTCTTACCTTTCCATCCATATAAATTGGACTTAAATCTGAGATATATAGCTCCAGATATGACCCAATTACCGAACAGTGTTCCGGTTTGGATTGCACCGACATCTCTTTTCTAAGTTTGACCATCTCTTTGCCTTTGCAATTTAAGTTCTTAAAGTCATCAATCAATATTTTCATTTATGTGATAGACCTGCATTTAAAATGAACATTTACCATAAATTAAAGGTATCTTATATTATTAGATATATTATTATAAAACATGCTTTAGTTAAGGAGTTATTGATACTTCAAGTGCAAAATGATGATATAAAACCATGATAAAAATGCACTTTTAAGTACTAATCATAAGACCAAATTGAAATGCAAAATCTACAACTCTAAATATGACTCAATGACTGAATAGTGTTCCAGTTTGGATTGAACCAACATCTCTTTTCTAAGCTTCACCCTCTCTTTGTCTTCTCAATTTTAGCAGTTGAACTCATTAATCAATCGTTTGATTTATATGATAGGCCTACATTTAAGATGAATATTTACCATAAATTAAAGGTATTTTATATTTATTAAATATATTATTATAAAACATATTGTAGTTAAGGAGTTATTGATACTTCAAGTGCAAAATAATGATATAAAACCTTGATAAAAATACACTTTTAAGTACTAATCACTTGTATTCTTCATTTTTCTTAGTGTTTAATATGTTGTTGTTAGAAAATTTCATGTTTTTTGTGTTTTTTTTTCTAGTTTTGATTTTGTTTGGGTTTAAATCTCTATTCTAGTTTATTTTTGGGTTAAACCTTGTTTATTGGTTCGATTCATGGTCGAATCAATGTTTTCGGGATGACCATGTCAGGGCAAAACCAAGCCAAATACTTAAGGTTTTGTTTGGTTTGCCATTGTTTTGATAAAATAAATTTTGACTTAAGGGCATGTTTGTTAAACATGTCTTTAGGTCTATTTTAATAGTTTTGTTTTGAATAAAAATATGGTTTTGCCAAATATGGCCCTAAAAAAATTAAAAATAGAAAAATAATTTTTTCTTGTTGCAGACATCTTAATCCTTATAAAAATTGCATTTCTATTTATATAAAAAAAAATAGTATGGTTTTAGAAAAATACATGTGTTGATTTTCCTTTGCATCTTTTAAAATTTACACCAAGTTTATAAAATTTCTTAATGATTTGACAAATATTTCAATAATTATAAAATTTTAATTCATGTGAAATTAATGGTCAACTTCCTAGTATAAATGATGGACCTATAAGTAGACTAATATTTAAATATCAGTAGTTGACTATAAAATTTTTAGGATTATTTTAGATATTCATCAATTTTAATTGAAAATATTTTTTACCACAATATAAAAATTATGGAGAACCATTATATTTGAATCATGTCAAGACATATACATGGATCCTTTCTATAGGAATTTATCTGAGCATACGAGCTCATAATAAATTTAAAATGTTAGATTTATTAATAGGAGTAAATCTTGAGTCCGAGTCATAAATAGATTATCAATTAGAAACCCATCAAAACCTTTAAATTATATCTAAACCATACAATATAGCTTACCTAAAAAAAGATGCATTAGAGAAGTTAATACCTTATCTAACCATAACCAGTTTCTTACCTTGAAATAAATGATAAGACTAGTATATTCAGGTCTCCCATGAAATAAATGATAAGACTAGTATATTCAGGTCTCCCAGTGACCTTGAATCAAATAACTAGGTAGTAACTTCTCAACCTTGAGGTCCCGCTACACCGTGCGTCCACATATAATAATATTATTAAATTAATTAAATTTATTAAACCTAGTTGAATTAATGCCTTGAGTCTTGAATTTTTCTTTTTTCTTAAATGCTAGCTTGGCTTGAACATTTTTTTTTTTTATATTTGAAAAACAAAAAACTTGCTTCACAACATAGCACTAATTTGAATTTGGTCCTATTTGTTTACTTGAAGGTAGTTTTTTTAAGCAATTTTTAATAAAAATTAAATTATTTTTCAATATATGGTAGTATTATAAGAAATGAGTTAAAAAAATAATTTTTAGTGTTTGTTCATATTCTGAAAAAAATAACCTGTAAAATAACTTATTAATGTTTTAATTTTTCTTCAAGTTTATTAAAAAAATAATATTCAAATTTGATAGATAAAAAAGTTGAATGATGATGAAATTAAAATAAAAAATAAATTTCATAAATTATTTTAAATAAAATAAATAGCAATAAAAATAATGGGAAGATGATGAAATTGAACAAAAAAATTAATTTTATAAATTATTTTAAATAAAATAAATAAAAATTAAAAGAATGAGAGCCAAATATAATATATAAAAAATTTCAATTTAAAAGGAATAAGAGAAAAATAAAAAATAAAAAATAAAATTGATATAAAAATCAAATTAGATTAAATTATAAGGATATAATTAAGAAAAATTTTAAAAAATATATAGCAATCAAAATATTAAGAATTAAATTTGATATAATTAATAAATAATATAATATTTTTGAATTTTTTATAAATTTTAGAAAGTAATTTCTATTTAAAAAATAAATAAATATTTTTCCACAAACTAAGTAAAATTTTATTTCACACAAAAATATTTTTCATGAATTAAATTCTTTTAATAATAAATAAATTAAAAAATAATTTCTCTAAAAATTACTTTTCATCGATGGGAATGAAGCTTATAGCTAGCTAATTATAGTTTTATATACTTATTTGAGAAAGAGGCGGTGGAAAAACTAAATAAAGGTGGATTTTTTTTTTTTTTTTTTTTTGTGTGTGTAGATCCTTAGATAATAGAAAGAGAGAGTGGCAAAGGAGAGTAAAAAAGACGTGAAAGGAGGGTAGAAGAAGAAGAGAAAGGAGAGATATTTATTAGTATAATAACAGCAACAATAAAAATAATAAAGGGGTGAAGGAACGGCGCAGTGTCTGTCCTTTGCCGATAAGCCCGGTGATTTGTTCGTCATGGGTATGAAGAAACACTCAACAAACTCCTCCTCCTCGTGCTTTCAAAACCCCCCACCTTGTTAGTTTACTCTTCACTCTCTTGCTAAGTTTCCTCTTGTGTTCTTTTCTCAACCCTAAGCACACTCAAAAGGAGAAATTCCATGGTTATCTGAATTCAAGTTCTTGTGAGTTGCTCTACTTTATAGGTTTTGATGAGAAATGGTGAGTCTTAAGCTATGCATTATATTTACGTATTTTAGAGCTATACTTAACAACAGAGCTTGTTGAAAACTATATAACTAGGAAAGAAAGCTACAATTTCTCGCAAACTAAAGCTCCAACAGGTTTTTTTTGAAAACAAATAAAACAATTCGTCGATACCACTGAGTTTCTGTTTGGTTTTACAAGAATTTTTTATTATGTTTGTTCTTAATAATAAAGCACGCTAGCTTAAAATATTTTGATGTTGTTCTCATCTCTTTACATCAACAAAGAGAGAGGCTGATCTGGGAGAGGTTGCAGGTTAACATTTCATCGGTTTAAATTAGCAAAACGAACGAGCTTAATGTCTTTGACAAGAATGTTGTTTTGCGGCAAAGAAGAGAGTAGATCTGTGAGTTTTGGCTGTTAGGAAGTAAAGATCTGTGTGAGATACTAAGTAGTAAATACAAACGGGGAAAAAAAGGGTTCTTAACTTTAACCAGATTGTTCCTGTATGTTTCCATGTTTATTGAGTTTTAAGAGGTTGACACCTGTAGACACAACTAGCATCAGTGCAAGTCCTTGTTGGTAATTCTGAAACTCTGGTTTCATGTATGTTTTGTTTTTGGTCTTTGTCATTTAATGTTGTTAATTAGGTGGGGTGAGCAGTGGTGCCTGCCATTTTTAGGGCCAGCGAAAGCTTTAAATACAAACCATTGCTGAGATGGCTACCTGTATGCAATTACTGCTTCTTCTTAGCTTAATTTCCAAGCAACCTCATCAACCCTTTAATCATGTTTAGCTAGCTAATAGCTAGTTTTATTTTTTATTTTTTTTTCTCTATAAGCTGTTTGTGTTTAATAAGCTAACCTAGCTATTTACTAGTGGTAGCTAGTGCTATAGTTAATAAGTCATATATATATATATATATATGTATGTATGTATGTCATGCTGTTTTGATTATTATGATAGTGATTTATGGGTTTTGGGTTGCAGGGCTGATGAGAGGGTAGCTGCCATTTCAGGCTTTGCTTTTTAGAGAGAAAGAGCACTCTGTGTGCAGAAGCAGCACTGCAAAAAAGAAAAAAAAGAAGAAGAAGAAAGCTTTAAACGTACAGGAGAAGGGCTAGGGGAGGGTCTCCTCTGACTTGGACTGTGATTTATCGAACTGTTGAGAAATAAATAAAATTACAAAAAAAGGAACCCTTTTCATAACTCACGCAGCAAAAGTACCTCTCTCTCTCCCCCCCAGCTCTCTGTGTTATTGTCATCAATGCATAGGACACACAGCCCCACCTGCGCTCCTCTCTTCAATTAGCTCTCTAATAAACCACCCACTTTCAAGTTTCTCTCTTTCTTTCTAGCCGCAATAAGAACACAAAAGATAAGGAAGAAATAGGGGTGGGATAGAAGAAAGAAAATAATAAATAACAAAGGCAATTAGGAAACAAAAGAGGAGGGTTCCTTTTCTTTTTCTTTTTTTTTCTCTTCTTTATTCTTTTCGAATAATTTGTGTTTGTTAAGGCATGAAAGTAGTGCTATGGAGGCGGAAGAGATTCGGAGACAGCCTTGTAAGTTCACTAGAGTTGGTAATGGCATAAATGACACCAGCAGAATAGCTCAAAAAGGTAATGGTTCTGACCACCAATATCCTGACGATGAAGAAGATGGTGAGCTCAAGAGGACTAATTCTAACAACGGTGCTGGTTGTGGTGGTGGCGGTATTGATGCTGCTGGTGGGACCTTCAATGGTCTTCGTGCGTGGCACCATTCGTCGCGCATAATTAGGGTTTCGAGAGCATCTGGTGGAAAAGATCGGCACAGCAAGGTATGGACTTCAAAAGGGTTAAGAGACCGGAGAGTCCGTTTATCAGTTAGCACTGCCATTCAATTCTACGACCTTCAAGATCGGTTGGGTTATGATCAGCCAAGTAAAGCTGTAGAATGGCTGATCAAAGCAGCTCAAGATGCAATTAACGAGCTCCCTTCGCTCAATCATTCTTTTCCTGAGACGCCAAAGCAATTAAGCGATGAGAAAAGAACGAGTGATAGCACTGAACAAGGATTTGATTCAGCTGATGTTGAGCTAGAAGACCTAAATTTTAGGCAGAACCAGAATCTCTCGCTATCTAAATCTGCTTGCAGTAGCACTTCAGAGACAAGCAAAGGTTCAGGGCTATCACTTTCGCGTTCTGTTAGTCGTGATAAGGCTCGTGAGAGAGCCAGGGAGAGAACAGCCAAGGAGAAGGAGAAAGAGAATGATTCTCGCATTGCGCATCACCACAACATAAACCCCATTTCTCAAAACTCCACATTTACTGAGCTTTTAACCGGTGGGGTTGGTAGTGTTAGAAATAACAGCAGCAGCAACAACAACAATAACAGTACTGCTAGTCCTACTGGTTCTGATGCAAATAATTTGTTCCAAAAAGCAGTCGCGGCAAGGCAGTGGCCTTCGACCCCAATGGACTGCTTCGGCTCAGGACTTTTAGGGCCATCCTCGTCGCGGTCAACTCATCATTCATCGGGGTTTCCAGGGCAAATCCAGTTAGGGAACTCAATCCCACAAGCAATGACAATGTCGATCCCACCATTTTGTGTATCGGGGGAGAATCACCAGGAGCATTTGCAACATTTTCCTTTCGTTTCAGATCATTTGATTCCAGTGGCCGCCACAACACAACCGCCGGCATCCAGCCGGGATTATAACCTAAATTTCACAATATCTTCAGGCCTTGCTGCAGGTTTCAATAGGGGGACCCTTCAGTCCAATTCATCATCACCGTCTCTTTTGCCTCACCTCCAGAGGTTTTCTACTTCTTCTACCATAGACGGATCTACCACAAATGTACCTTTCTTTATCGGTGCTGCAACACCACAAGCTATGGAGAACCACCACCAGTTCCCACCTGGGTTGCAGCTCTGCTATGGCGATGGAACCAGGCATTCTGACCAGAAAGGCAAAGGGAAGAACTGATTATTGCCTGTGGGCGTCTGTTTTTCTTGTGGCATCTTCTTTCAGGTAACATAAGAGCACTCGAATCTTTCTCAATACTCTTACGGTCATTTTACTTATCCTTTGATAAGTTAGATCTATGTTACATTTGCTTCCCATTCTAGTTGTTCTGTGATTCTTAATTTGCCTCTTTCTTTGTAAGCGTCATCTCCCCCCTCCCCCCTCTTGTTGGTTCTCGGAATACATGCGGACTGCATATTTTTACTCTATTAAAGATAGAATAGCTATAACATATATGAGTTTCTTTCTTGGTAACCATAAATTAAGTTAACCTTTGGTTGAATTTTTATGGGTGTTCTTTTCATGTCTTTATATTTTATATTTTTTTCATTTGCTTCCTGCATGGACCGCTGTGCATAGGTCATAGGGTGGTTGTCTCCTTGTTTGTTCTCTTTCTGGTTCCCTTCTCCCTAACATTATGCAATGACGGGAGTTAGAATTAGAGTCATGTGGTTGGCAGCTAATGGAACAAGAGTTCATTTCTCTCTTTAGGTTAGAGGGTGAAACCTTGACAGCTTTAAAATCCCAATCTTCCTTTCGCCTAATTCAAAACCTCACCACATCGCAATGGATCGGCGCTATGTGGGGCTCTGACAATTTTACTTAGGTTTTCAGTTGTTTCTGGTTCAGAGCAAGCCTGACAAGCTGGTAAAAACCATGCACGTAGCCTGGCACAACCTCCTTTCAATCACCACAAAAATTGCGGGAAAAGAAATATAATAGCGGGAAGGGTTTTCTTTTGACTATTCACTGTAGCTTTTGGATATAAACATGCATACACAGTCCCTTTTCTCCTCTTCTATTTTTCAGTTCCTTTTTTGTTCCAATTCTGAACCTTTTTTTTTTCCCTGATCCAAGTCACTCGCTTATTGGCTAGTAAACTTTATTTTAATATTAATTAATAAGATCTGAGCCTATTCATAAAAAATAAAAAAAAGAATAAACCTACATTCTTTATTCTGATTAATAGATATTCAAAACCGAGAGCCACAAAAAGATAATAGATCAGTAAAATGTTATTGTGATTGAAATCTGAATCTATTTACATGGTTTTAACTCGAGATTTCTTTCTAAGAGCAAGAGATTGTTTGTATGTAAACTGCATTATTAGTATTGGCTTAGTAAGATACTGTTGGTTGTTCTGAATCTTGAAATGTTGCATTGTGTGTGTGTGTGTATTCTTATTTCGCAAAATCCATTTTGATTTCACGTTTTAAATTTACAAGTTCATGCTTTCCATTCACTTAATTCGAACTTCAGTGTACTTTGGATTAACTCTTTTGTCTCAATTGTCCATGCAAAATCTTGTAGTTTTCCATCGCCTTCTTACACGTAATGAAAATATTAATGTTGGAATGTGCACTCTCGTAGAACAAAAAATTGTTGGCGGCTATTGGCTTTCATATTGTAGTTTTTTCATTGCACGAAACATCTTTACTGCAATGATTCTCTCATGTCCACTAACAATAGAAGAGAGGGATGAAACTGAAAATACAAATCAATAGTGATTGGAACATAATTTAACTAAGCAAGCAAAATCATGTTTATGTAATAAGCTCTTCTCAGAATATAAACAAAAAAGAGTTTCATTGACCCTTCTTCTTCTTCTTCTTCAAGTTATTAGGAGGAGAAATATAAACAAGAGGAAACAAGATTACTAACTCGTAACCCAATTAAAGGGATCTCACATGTGCTTCTAGTAAGAACTGTACTCCAATGGCGGCATTTCTTTAATTTGTTCTCAAATCTTAATGTCATGGCTGTAGGCCTCTCAAAATTAGGCATTTAAGGAGCATTACTAATATCTAAAAACTCCTACAATCAACCTTTCTTTGAACTTTTAGGAATGGTTTTAATAGTTAAACATCGCCTTCCGGTATGCTTTAGTTGTTATACTTTGTCACTGGTCTCTTACTTTTAAATTGTGTAATAACAACTAATGTACCTCCCGGCACAGATTTGAAAGTTTCACGATCACTTTGAAAACAAGGCAACCACATAAACAAAATTTACAGAATAGAGTGATATTAATAGCATTTGTGCGATAAACGTCAGAGGGAGCAAGATTTCAAATAGGTGCGAGAGGTCATGGAGTCACAAGTTAATAGAGCCAATCATACCAGCACGCATGTGCATCAAGCAATTTTCATATCTTGGAGACACGTAGACAATTAGTCAGAAATAGGCATGTAAAAAAATTACAGAAGTTGAGAGGGTGAAAGAGAGGTTTCAGAAGGTAAGAATCCAAAACATATTCATTAAGTTTAGGAATGAATGATTCTATTTGAGTGCAAACTGAGACTGAACCAATGTTGAAAGGGTAGTAAAGCATGATGAGGGTACTCGGTTTGCCAAAATATGATTTGTTTGAGAGAGATGGGAGGGTGTTGAAGTGGGTTAGAGTTCATTCTCCTTCCTAACTTTTTTGTCTTGGTGGTGCATTTTGGAGTCTCTTTTACCCGTTATGAGTATCGTTTGGAGGTTTTAAGGCTTAAGAGATTTGATCATGGTGAATTGGTGTTCTCTTTCATACATGCTACCGTTTTTTTGTCTTGTCTGATTCCTCCGATGTAACTTAGGGCAGTTTAAGAAGTTCTTGAATCACTTATCATCAATTATGTGCCAACGACATTGTCAAATAGCTTAAGGTTTTGTCAAAACTATAACAAAAGACCATCGGGAAGATGTTTTGTTCATACTTGAGGTAAGTAGAAGCTACTTATTGCAATGCTACCTTCATTGGACAAGAACATGGGCAGTAAGGGTGAGATTCTTTCTGCTGAGTTTTGAATCAATAATTCATAAAGACCTGTATGTAGCTTTCTGCAACTAGCATCGATATCTCTTGTCCCACATTCAATGAACAAACTAAATATGTTCTCGGTGAAATAAAGAGTTTAGGGGCTTATGTTTCAGCACATTTGGGGTCTTAGGTGTTTTAGCAAGCATCAAGAAATTTGAAGTTAGTTTCTCTCATAATTTTGCTGTCTGGTTGCTTTAAAATGAGCCACTGTTAGAATCTAAATGGTAGAAGAAAACTGGCAACCAAAATTAAAGCAATTTAATGTGGACTGCATCTCTCAAATGATATCGTCCTGCAAGGCTTTGATTTAGTGATATTTGGTTTGCACTGTATTCTTTCCAGCTTTAAATGACATCCATGTAGCGGTATTATTGTTTTGACCATCTGCTTAAGTATGAATGATTTATTAATTGGCGTCAAGACTTCCCTCGAATTTTCCTGTGTGAATGTATAATCTTAATTATGTCCAGCACTGTCTGTCAGAATTCAAAATGCTGATTGTTTTGTGTTTATGAAGAGATTAACATTCACTGATGGCTTTTGCAGTTGTTTTCCGTTTTTCCAATTTTTAGTGAATGGCATGCACGCTGATATCAGAGGTTAATTTGGTACAGGAAAATGAAGATGGGAAATTGCTGCAAACCATGAACAAATACGTTCCTTCCTTGCATTGGATGATCATGATACCTTTTCATCATGCTTCTGAAATTTTTGGTATTTCCGCTTTATCCATTTATAAGTCGTTCAGATTGCATCCATATATATGTGTATGCGCGAATCTATGCGTGCAAAGCTTTGTGTGTTTTGAAGAAATATAACAAACGATTGAAGTTGATGTCTTTCTTTTTTCCTTGTCTGTCATAGTCAATACCATCAGTTGAGCCTTGTCTTGAATAGAATCTGCCTCTCCAAGTTGATTCACTCTTCAAGTTTCTACCACCACTCTTCTCTGAAACAAAGATCTTGGTTTATATATAGGTTAAAACTCACCCAATTAATCAAAAGAAATTCAAATTTAAGTAGGGAAATTAATTAAAATTCAAAAATAATTAAAATAGTAAAAATAGTATCTTTTGATGGGTTAGTGGTAGATATTAGATGAAATCTAATCTAAATAGGAATCCTTCTAAAAAATATATATTTATGTTTTTTATAATTTTTGATTACCTAGTTAATTTAAATTCTTAATGGATTATAATAGTTAATTTAATTCTGTAGAATATCAATCAATCAAAAGCTTGGAAGATTAAGTATTTATGCTTTCAACAAATGGTATCAGAGAGAAACTCTTTGTTTAGGCCTCCCCCATGCAAAGATTAAACATCTATAACAGCAACATCCATGTTTCTTCAATACCAGTTGCTTGTAGCAAATGATCCAACAGAGATTAGATCTTTCTAGCAGCAACAAGAATAGTGGTAGCTTTATTGACAACAACTATAACATAACTTCAATGACGAAGACGACAACAATCCCTTTTATACAAGCAACAACAGAACAACCACCACATGCGGTAGCAACAAGCAATAGTCATGTTTTTCCGGCAGCAACGATTTGTAACAGACCAGCTAGCAAACACTTTCCACCAGCACCTTCATGAACAACCCCGCTCTCCACAGCCGCCGTACCAGCACCCTTTGCATCTGTTATCAAACACAACATCAGGAAGAACAACAGACCAACCGCTAAATGAAGAAACAACAAATGAATATAAGCAAACACAATATCAATATTTCTCTAAGCTTAATCCAAGAGCAACAAAAAGTAGACACGGTAGCACAACATAAAAGCACCAAAACAAGCTTCAAAACAATAAAATTCCAAAAACGCTAGTTTCTTCGTAGCAACGGGTACATTAGAAAACGTACCAACAGTCACAGCACCTAAGAAATAAAAGAACAAATAACGCAGTAGCATTAACATTATTTCAAGATACAAAAGAGCCTCAAATTGTTATGGTAGCAACTTTAAAATCAGAAAAAGTCTTTACAACGACAGCAGCAATGTCAACACAATAAATTAAAACTTGGCATTCGATAACTTTGTTCTACCGGTCATTCCATGCTTTGATTGTAATTATGATCGTTGAAGCATGGTAATGGAGAATTTCCTAAGGTGCACGAAGTATTGGTAAATTATTTTTTAATAAATAATTGAATTATTATCTAGAACAACAATAAAAAATGTATAAAAAATAAAATGAAAAAAACAATGATTAAAAGGTTTCAAGATAAAAACTTATTTTTTCCAATCAATTGATTGCTCAATCTTGAAAAGCATTTCTTATAACAAAACCTTTCAAGATATTTAGAACTTGATGAAAAAGAGCTATAAAGGAATAGGTAAAACAAAAAGGCAGGTTTTTTTTCTAGGCCAAATATATATTTTAACTATTTAACAATTTATAAAAGATAAAAAAACCTCTAGGCGACATGTTTTAATTTTATTAACTTTGGGGTTGGAATAGTATTATTACCATGCAAATAATCGTGAAAGAACTACTATATCCTTGTTAAAACGTTTAATAACTAGTAAACTTATGAAAAATAATGAAATACCCTTCAACCAGGGCTTTAATTTTTTCAACCAATGAACAAAATGATAATTTAATTTTTTTTTTTGTAAAAAGACAACATTAGCCTTATTCCAAGCCTTAAGAGCTTGAAAAATCCACCGTACAAGTCTATAATGGACTATGTTTTAGTCCAAAGTCCACTTGCACAGGGTTGTCAAACCCAAACAACTTGAGTCTTGCAAACATACAAGACCCAAGTGTCTGGGTTAGCAACCATAACAACTCACGTTTAGGTCTGGCACCAAACATGGTTGCTAAACTGAAGGCTCATGGATATGAAATGGTTGTCAGATTCAAGTAGCGTAAGTCGAATGTGGTTACCAGACCCTAAAATGCTTGCACCTAGCATGGTTTCCATGTCCAGGCGCACATCTTAACACTTTTTTGGTCCTAGCTTGGTATGGGTTAGCTCAAGAATTTTTTTTAAAATAAATTTTTAATATTTTATATGATAAAAATTAAAAAACAATTCATGTTGTTATAAACTAAAACACTATTTCAAAATGTTTTCTATCTCACATTAAAAAAAATATTATCTTATCCTATTAAGTTGAAGTATTTAAATCAAAAAAAAATTTTATTCCACATTGAAAAAATATTTTTTTTTTCTTGTGAACACACACATATGCATATATAGGCTTCAAATCTTATATTGAAAAAATAAAATATTTATCTAGCATTTATATAGTGAACTTTGATATGACTTGGTAACAAACTGAAAAAGATTAAAAAAAAAGGGGCCTCTAGCTAGGGGGAAAAAACATATTTGAAAAAAAAAAAAAAGCTCTCTACTAGGTTCTGTTAGGTCACCTAAGTCTCGGGTTGACCCGTCATGTCAGGCTAGGTATGATAATTATGCTTAAACATTAAAAATTGAGCTTGAGAGCATTAATTATAACTTATTCCATTCTTCTCTAGTTCAATAAATTAGTTAATTAATCTTTAAAAATTTAAAAATATAGATTTATGTTCATTTTTACACTATTATTTTTTAGTTTTATTTTTCAACCAAACATCTAGGCTTGATAGTTATGTCAAATTCATGTATTTTTTTTAAATGTCAAACCCAAACATGATTGTCAGATCCAAGTAGTGTGTGGGTTTGACATAATTGTTAAACTCAAGACGCTTTTAGTGGTATGTTTGCTAAACCCAAGGCGCTTGGGCCTATTGTGATTGCCAGCCCAAGGCTTTTGGGTCTGGCATGGTTGGGTTTGACATTGTTGTCACATGCATCCCTAAAATTTAGTCAATTATTTTTTTATTAATCTTTAATTTGAATGAAAAAATCATTTACAAACTTGCACAAATTACGAAGTCAAAAAGACAATAAATCTTTTACATATATAATATTTTCATTTCCTACAACATAATGTATCAATTTAGAAGTTTAAAAATTTTGTATATACTAATAGTTATAATATAGAATAAGCTCTTCTTATAACAAACTTTGACAATTAGATCATGTAATAACATATCAAATTTAAAAAAGCTTGAACCTTTTAAAAAACTATCCAATATTTGGATGGAAAGTCTTAAAATAAATCACTTAGAATTTAATATTATTTTCCTTTCTTTCCTCTTTAAATATGAACGAAAAATTCTGCTTGAATAAGGTAGTGTTTGTTCTTACAGTCCAATCATGCTTTTAAAAAATTTTAAATTGTTTTACCCTAATACTTGGGTCTGGTATGGTTGGCAGACTAGCATTATAATTTACATTAAAAGTCTCTTGATCTACAATGATTTTTTTCATACAATTTAACTTTTGTTATCATAGTACCACTAGTTTGATATATTTTCTTTCAAAAAAATATGTCCTTTCATTATTATTTATTGTTAATAAAGATAATAAACATATATATTATGTCAACGACAATAAAGAAAAGGAATATTAAATGAATAGAACTGGGATATGGGTGGAATTTATTGAAATGATGTTAGTTTTCTATGAAATAAAGCATGAAATGAAGAAACTACATAGAAGCTCATCATGATGAATATAAAGTCCCATAGTATAAAATCCTAACATCTTTGTCATCTAGCATTCATGCCAATATAATATTGATTAGTATTTAAAAGTGTATTTTTATTAAGGTTTTATATCATTATTTTGCACTTGAAGTATCAATAACTCCTTAACTAAAACATGTTTTATAATAACCTATCTAATAATATAAGATACCTTTAATTTGTGGTAAATGTTCATCTTAAATGCAGGCCTATCACATAAATGAAAGGATTGATTGATGAATTTAAGAACTGAAATTGAAAGGATAAAAAGATGACCAAACTTAGAAAAGAGATGTTGGTGCAATCCAAACCAGAACACTGTTTCATAATTGGGTCATATCTGGATCCATAGATCTCAGATTTAGGTCTACTTTATATGGATGGAAAGGTAAGACATGAGCCTACAACTTTCAAGTCCAAATTGTTACAACAACAAAGAAGCCCGAATCTGTCCTCCAACCCGAGCACTGTTCAGTATTTTGGCCATAGCTGGAGTTTTAGAAGTCAAAATGCGCTGAATTTTTTACACAAGAAAGCTGAGCCAATTTCCTACAACTTTCATATTTCAAGTGGCTCCAATTATGACGTTATTAATGACATTTTGGGCAAACAAGAGAAGATAAGGATTGTCACCAAGTCAAGAGTTGATCACCCACTTATTAATTAGTCATCAAATCAATAGTTCCCAATTTTGGCCTATAAAAGGAGGCATTTGTCATGCATTTAGGCATCTTGGTCTCCAGATCAAGATCATGCTCTTGCTTTCTTTCTTTGTATTTTTTGTAATGTTTATGCTTTGCTTTCATTAATAGTTTATACCTTTAATTTCCTTTTCTTTACTTAGTTAACTCTTATCTTATTTATATTTTTATTTTGTTTATTATGTCTAGCTAAGTTTATTATGTTAAGGTGAAAAGGTTACACTAATGGTGTAAGAATAAATATAGTGTAAACTCAATATGGACTTTAATGTTTGATACTAACATGTTTTGTATTTGTTATCTTGTTCACTCTTTAATACTTTGCTTGTTAAATGACTAATCTTGATTTATGTTGTATAACACTTGGTACAACAAATGCTTGGCACTTTCATAGCCCATACTGTATGGTATAACCGACACCTGAGCTATGAAAGAAACTTGATTTGTTATTAACATAAGTTATAATCATGAATGCTTGACGAGATTTACAAGTATTAGCATTAATTGAATAAGATGACTAATGTAATCATGTTAACAATCTATAATCTGATTGGAACCTCCTT